AAGGATAATTAAGATATTTAAGAAATATTATTAAACGGATTTGCGGGTATGGATATCATCATACCGCCCCCGCCCCGTTTATAAACGGGTAAAAAATTATTCATCCCCATTATCCGCGGGTACCCAATTAGCCTATCCATTTATTATCCGTAGCGGGTTTTACCCGCAGATACTCGCGAATACGGGTATTTTTGCCATCCCTAGTGATACTGATCTTCGGGATGACCCATGACAAATTCATTATGCAATATCATGCAAGAAGCAACGAAGTACACTACAATGGATTGTCAATGGTGATAACTAAGAAAATGCGTTGATGTTATTGAACTAACACCTAGAATTATACTAATTTAGCAATTTTAAGGATTTTACAGAGTAGGAATGAACCAAGAAAAAAGGCAGAGTAGGACTGTATTGTTCCCAATCAAGCTCTCAAATTAGACACGAAGAAGGAATTGAGAATGAGAATGGAGAGAGAATGAGGAAAAGATAGACTAGAGAGGAAACAAAGAGGTTGAAAATCTGTCAAATCATATCATAAGAATTAATAAAAACATTATTCTTAATCTAAGTCTCAATGTTACATGTCCTATCAGAACACTCCAAAAACAAGAATAATGCATCGTCACCGATATCATCAAGATCCTGATGAACATTACTTGTAACAACATACATATAGCCAAGACATGGAAACAAAAGGGAGTGAGAAAACTTCTCACTCTAGCTCATGACATAGAATAAAAGATAAATAGTCAAACGTAATCTATACATTATTAATACAATAACATGACAATAAAAATATTTATTATTCAATAACTTATATATCACCATCACACAATCACTCATTTATAACACATTGAATATAAATAATTTACATGCAAATATAGAATCAATGGACACAGACTCTTGATTTGCATGCATGTGGTACTAATCTCAAGATATGCACAGTAAATATAAAATAATTTGTTGATTTGCGTGCATATGATGCATGTCATACAAACTCTTTATATAATGAAAACACTACCTATATATATATACAAACACACACGCTCTCAATGATTTGCCACATATACAATTTGCCATGCTATAATTGTTATCAATGATACATACACTTTACCATATACACAATTTGCCAATAGGAATCAAGTATTTCATTCAAGCAAATATTCATGCTACACTCATCAACATTCGAATTACTCCTTACATCTCTTAGCTCTCATAAGGAACCATCTATTTATATATAGTCAGCGTCTGGTGGAAATCCATTTAAGCCTAATGTAACTCGTCAGAGAGCACTCATAGCTTTTGGGATGACTCAAACCCGTCGTGACTCGTATCACACCCAACGAGATAACAACAAGGACTCCCTTAGAATACCCACTCCCAACAAGCCTTAGCCCACGCTCGACGTGAGTGTCATAGAGACTCGTTGTCTCATTAGTGCCTAGTAAGGCATATCCCATGTCCAACACAAACAAAATAGGGAAAGAACCCTACTCTTGGGCATCCCAACACCTAGTGAGATGCAAGTGGCACTCGACACCATATCATACACCAGAAACTTGTAGAATCGCGATTTGCGAGCAACAAATCCAACACATACATTTATAATTTCAATCGATAAAACACTTTATTTTACTCATATAATACATTATAAGATACAAATTTCGTTCAATTACAACTTCCATTAATTATCCACATAATGATCATTCACTTGCATATTCTTAGGGTTCCGATAGGAACCCTTAGGGAACTCAATTCATACCAAAAAGGGCTCAATGCACGAAATTAATCATATATGATTACAATTCATATTAATCTAAGAGCAATAGAATCACATGGGGAAACAACAAATGAGAACAAAAAACAATTAGAATTTCCCACTTCATACAACGCATGCAACATACAGAGGTTGGGGGTCAACCTTACTACCCCATCATATACCCTACGTCTTAGAGCGAGGATTCTCACTCTTCCCTTACCTCTATCAACAAACAACAAAGAATGTGGGTGATGATCTCCTCTTGTCCCCTCTCATCTCGGTTCTTTAAAGTGTAAAAGAAAAAATGAGAAAGCATGATCAGAAATCTGACACATCTCTCTTTTTAATATTAAACCTAACTTAACATCCCTCTAACCCATCCATGGTTACTTAACCTTGATTACAAATCTCTTTCCTTCACTTAATAATAACAATAATAATAATAAAAAAAAATAATAAACATTATATTAAAATATAATCCTCATATAATTTAATCAAAACAAATATACAAAATAAAATTTCAACTTTAAAATGCTTTATAACATCAACCCTTTAAATTTTATAATAAAGTATATATTATTAATCTAATTATGAAAATGTAACATGTTACAACTGTCATAAAAAGCTCTTTTTACACTAGTATTTTTTTTAATTTATTTAGAAAAATAATTAATTGAAATATCAAATAGTTAAACCTTTATCTATACTAGTAGAAAGGTAAAAATGAAAAAAGAAATTATAAGAATTATATATTTGTAGAATAATTTAAGAAGTTATAAGGGTAAAAGTTATTTTCTTTATTTATTATAAAAGAATAGAGGATTATGGATAATAAAAATTGATTCATTCAATTTTTTTTAAAGAATTATTTCACTATATTTGCAATTTTTTTCATTCTCTTATTCACATAAACAACTGAAGAATATTATCATAATAATTATATTATTATTAATTATAAAGTAGTGGTAAGTTCTTCATATGTCTTGTCGACTTATCGGGTTGTACAGAAGAGTCAAAACCTTCTTTAAAGGAAATTACGAGTCGCGTGTGTTTGTAATGTCAAAATGGATAGATGTTTTCCAAAAACTCAAAATGGTATTATTATTTTTTTTTTAAAGAAAGTTTAGGTGATTAGGTTTTAAGGGTTCATCAGGGTTAAGTTAAGTCTTAAGGCTCTTTCTCTCTTGTTATATCTCTTCGTATTTTATCATTGTACTATTTCTTTCTTGTTGTCACATCTATCCATTTTTGTCGTCGGGCTCTTTCTCTCTTGTTAAATCTCTTCATGTTTTGTTGTCGCACTATTTCTTGCTCATCGCATCTTAGTGTATCTTGTCATCATGTTATTTCTCTCTTGTCGCACCTCTTCACGTTTTGTTATTGAGCTCTTTGTCTTTTGTCGCATCTCTTTGTGTTTTGATGACAGGCTCTTTCTTTCTCATTGCGTCTCTTCGCATTCTTTAACAACCTCTTTCCTTCTCGCTCTTGCATCCTCTTTTTGTAACCACCACATGTTGCATTTCACCACCACTACGTTTGATTCCAAACCACCACACTATCAATATTTAAACAATAATGATAGGAAAAAATAGACAAAATAAAAAATAATTTACTTGGACGTGTAAGAAGGAGGATCATGAAGAAAAAAAGACAAAACCAAAAACAAGAGTTTGGAATGCGAATTGCATTTTCGATCTAAAATTTTAAAACACTTTTATGTCGAGTATCATTTCATTTGTCATAGAAAGTTTCTTCTATGCCGGATGTCATTACACCCATCATATAAAGGTTGCGGTCAACTACAAAGTTGACCCTTTCCAACACATTTTATGACAGGTGTTGACTCATCTGACATAGAAAAAAATTATGACGGATGAGGCAATACCTGACATAAAAAGTCTTGTCATATTTACAACTTTGTCATCATGTCACTTTCTATATGTTATGTGGATTACACATGCCATAAAATCACCATTGTGACACCCTCTACCCCGCAATCGTAGATAAATTTAAACTTTTTAACACACACACACACATATAAATTAACCCAAACCCATGTATAAATAATCCAAGTGAAATCTCTAACATAAGGTAAAAAGTATCACATAACAAACTCTTAAACAAACTCCATACTAAGTGGAAACAAAAAACTAAACTTGAATCCTATCATAAGAATTAATAAAAACATTATTCTTAATCTAAGTCTCAATGTTACATGTCCTATCAGAACACTCCAAAAACAAGAATAATGCATCGTCACCGATATCATCAAGATCCTGATGAACATTACTTGTAACAACATACATATAGCCAATATTATTAAATTTAAATTTTAAAAGAAATATAAGAGAAAAAGTGAATCATTTTCTGTTGGAGGGACAATTCATACTTAACTATGTATGTTGACGTACACCCATGCACAAGTTGTAAGGTTATAAACTTATAATGAAAAAAATTATTGTATAAAAAATATTTTAAATAGATAATTTATTTTTATCATATAAATTTATTATTTTATTTATATTTTTAATAATATATAAATTAATTTTTTATCATATTATATAAATAAATAAGTTGACCTATCATATTATATAAACAGATTTTTTTAAAACTCGAACTTATCTTTTTATTAAATATGTCAAATTAAGTTAATCTTTAAAAAAGACAAGTCATAAACCCCTGTTTAAGACATAATAATTCTCGTTCCTAATTAAGTAGATAATGGTGTTTGATTTGAAAATTTACATGTTATTAATTTTTTTTTCAGTTGTCATGGGATGACTTCCTTCTTGATTATCGGAGATGTCATCCTTTATTTATCATTTTATAAAAAAAAAATCAAATTATTTTGAATCTCAAAAGGAAAAATCGACAAGGAGAGAGAAAGGGAACGTTACATGGAAATAAAGGAATCCTACATCATATCTTGCCATTTGTTCTTCATGCAAACAGAATGGGACAAAAGAACACCTCACCACAAATGACTTTTCACACCATTTTCCCTCTCAACAATTGAAGCCAGCTCTCTTTCCGTTTCTCTACAAAACCTTTCATTGTAAGAGTTATTTTCCTTTCATTTTTGTTTTTTTCTTCACACGGTTTCTTAACATGCCAAAAGATGCTTATTGAATAGAGTGCCTAGTTAGAATTAAAACATGAAAAAGCATTGTTCTAATAACACGATAATCCTGTGAAGGCGTTAACTCCAATGGAACCATTAGCACTATAAATTGGGATGAAAATAAGTGTTTAATATCACATCTATAGCACTTATATAGCTGAGAGAGAAAGGAAAAACTTAACTAAACAGCACTTCAACAATGGCCACCCTAGTTGTTAATAACCAAAGTTCTCCTTCTCAAGATGCTGAGGCTCTCCGACAGGCTTTCAAAGGTTTTGCACAAATTTATTCTAACTTTAATTTATTTGCTTTATATTTGATGCTTCTAAACTATATTGTAAATTACGTACTACTCATAATTAACTGATTCTTAAAATGTGATTATAAACTTACCTTTGTCTGCTACATCCTATGAATGTCATCAGTCAAATGATTTTCGTGGGATTTTTTATATTTATATTTATTTTATTGTGCTGACATTCTTGATTTACCAAATTATTGGGTGAAGGACCATTCTAATTAATATATTTTTTATTGATCAAAATTTTAAGTACATAAGTGTGAGAAATAGTAACGAAAGAAAAACCACAGATAATCATTTTTATTTTTATTTTGGTTGGAAGAGAAATATATATTTTTATTTCTAAATTTAATTTTAAATAAAAATTATAATTTTTTTGGCCATCTCTAGAGCTGTCAAAACGGGTAACCCGGCCCGGCCCACCACAGGTTGAGCCTTTGGTGGGCCAACCCAACCCGGCTCGTTTATTGGTGAGCTGGAAAAAATTGAGCCCGGCCCGGCCCACCACGGGTTGGAGAGCTAAACGGGTTGGCTCACCTAATTTGAAAAAATCACCTAATTTAAAAAAATGTAATCAAATTTAATGCCTAATCCTGCAAAAATAGTATGCACATAAGCTTTTCTAGAGAAAAGTAAATAAATTCCTACACTAATTACATAATTTGAAGAAAAAATACATAAAATTGAGAACCTACGATGGTCTATGAAGTTTTATTTGGCCCAACCCAATAGTAGAAGTTTTTTTTTTTTTTTTTATGGGCTGGTGGGTCAGCCCGGCTCACCCGGGTTCGGCTCACCACGGGTTGAACCCGGGTGAGCCGGGTTGTTAGTGGGTCAGGTTTAAAATTGGCCCACATTAAAATTTGTAAATTTTTTTTAGCCCAACCCGGCTCGAACCCGTCGCCGGGCTGAGCCCATTCTGACAGCGCTCTAGCCATCTCTGAACCAAACGAGACGTCTGAAAAGATAAAGCTGAGTTACTGCCTTGCTGGTCACGGGTAATACGTGCGACAGCATGGAATGTTACGCTTTCTTTTTCTTTCAGAGTATTTTATTTACGGTTCAATAAACTAATATTATATTTTGGATTTAATTTCCTTAAAACAGTAGAGTATACTTTATAAAATAAAGTATATTTATAATTATTTTTTTAAAACTTATGATAATTTTTTTTAGTAAAATTTAATATATATATATATATATATATAAAATAAAATTTAAAATTAATTATAATATTTATTGTTAACTTTTTTGTCCACGTTTATTATTGTATTTTATTTTTTCAAGTAAAATTTTTAGATTTTAAAAGAGTCAAATTCTTTTTCTTTTTTTAATGCTTAAATATAAAAAATATGTTTCGTCAGATCGCATTTGTAAATTTGGTTGGAATATATTCCTTTTAAACAAGTTATATTACATTTCCAAGACGTTGATATCGATCACTCGTTCAATTATTGGGAAAAAACAACTTAGTACTTACTTATAGATACCAATTAAGGGAATGCGTGTACCTACAGATTCTTCATTTTTCTACTGATAAAAGGTCCGAATATACAATGCCAACAAAATCCTTCTGCTTGGCTTCTCTCTGAATCATACGTGGACGCACTAAAAGCATAGTTCTATATTTTATTATTTAATTCGATTATATATAGAAGTGTCAAGCTAAACTTTATAACCAATTAAGCACCATAATATAGAAAATATATCCAACTATGGCTACCCTTATTGCTCCTAGCCACCATTCCCGAGTTGAGGACGCCGAAGCCCTCCGAAATGCTTTCAAAGGTTTTACATTATTTCACTAACTATATCTTAAAAAAAATATCCTTCAACCTTGAAAATGCATTAACAAAAATTTATCGTGACTTATAAGAAACTTGTTCTGTATAAGCTGTAATCTAATAGTTTTATGTATACTTGAATTGTGTTTGTTGATAATTGATGAACATGATGATGACATGGTACCATGAAAAAAATAAAATGTGACCCTAAATTTAATGGTTTTGAACTCTCTAGGATGGGGGTCTGATGGGAAGGCCATTATAGCAATACTGGGTCACAGAAATGTTCATCAGAGGCAGGAAATCAGAAAAGCTTATGAGGAGATTTACCAAGAGGATCTCATCAAACGCCTTGAGTCTGAGATTTCTGGGGACTTTGAGGTACCATATATAAGAACATTTTTTAGATGATTTTGGCTTTCATAGTGTTTTTGTGCATTCTGATGATGACTGTAATGATGGGGGTGTGCAAAAATGAATCAGAGAGCTGTGTATCGGTGGATGTTGGGGCCTGCAGATCGTGATGCTGTTATTGTGAATGTAGCAATCAAGAATGGGAGCAAAGAGTACCCTGTGATTGCAGAGATTGCTTGTGTGCTATCAGCTGAAGAGCTCTTGGCACTGAGGCGTGCATATCACAACCGCTACAAGCGTTCCTTGGAAGAAGATGTCGCAGCTCACACCACTGGCCATCTTCGCCAGGCAAGTCTTACTAATACAAACAACTTTGGACCATACCTAGATACACTTGTGTAGCTCTTTCAGTATGGTTCTATAATAAAATATTAGAATTTCAACTCAATAATATGTCTCTCTTTTGCATTAGAGATCATCTCAGAAAGTTGAGATGAAACTCTAAATTTGATAACTTAGTTAGTAACAGACTTTTGCATTAAATTATTACACTGAAGTAAAACTCTAATTTTGATATGAGAATAACACATTAGTACGTAAAGAATTGTTTAAGTATTAACATATTGTTAGTTCAATTCAAACTGAATTTTTTCCTCTTAAGTAACATGTTGACTTCAAATCTTGTCGATGAGAGGAGACCTCATTTTTAAATCTGATCAGTCAAGTTCCTAATAGTATCAACAAAACTGGCAGATACTTCCCAGTAAAAGAAAATTTACTTTTGTCTAGCAAGCTTTGCATTAGTACAATGCCTATAAATATACCCAATCAAAAGTTAAGGATGATTTGAAAATCTGCATTAAATATTTTGAGTTATTTTAATATTAGTGAATGAAGTTTATTGATGAGAATTTTGAGGAGTGCTAATGGTATGAGTTTGTGTTTGATTTTGAGCAGCTTTTGGTTGGATTGGTGAGCTCATATAGGTACGAGGGTGATGAGATCAATGTGAAATTGGCACAAACTGAAGCTAATATTCTTCATGAAACTGTCAAGGAGAAGAAAGGAAACTATGAAGAAGCCATCAGGATCCTTACTACAAGAAGCAAGACTCAACTTGTGGCCACTTTCAACCGCTACAGAGATGAGCATGGAATTTCCATCAGTAAGGTACGAAAGGAAGAGTTTTATCCTCTTATATGTTTGACCCAATATAATTAAAAATATTTTTTATTAAAAAAATTCTCTGCAGAAATTGTTGGATCATGCATCTGATGACCTCCTCAAAGTGTTGCACACTGCTATTCGCTGCATCAATGACCATAAGAAGTACTATGAGAAGGTCAGGTTCTCATGACTTTCTTTATGCAAGTGTGAAACATCATTTAAAAAAGACTAAAGAATTGTTATTTGCATGCAAGAAAATAGACCTTTTATTTATTTATTTATTTTATATTTATATTCATACACGTGACCGACAGTATCTGAATGCAATTCAGTCAGCCTAAACTTTACCTGAATAATGCATCACGTATTCCAGCTTTTTTTCTCTGATTCATAACATCACTTTATGAACATTTTGATTTCTTTTGGAACTCGTTCCTCTCATAAATTTAATTCAGTCATCCTAAACTTTCACTTGTCTAAAATAATTTATAGAATAAATTATATTGTAAAGAAGTATCCACTTTAATTTATGTGTATGTACATTCTCAGCAAAACAACATTGATCACTGTTTTAGTAGTAAATATTTTGTATAAATACCATTATTAAAAAAAATAATTCAAAATTAAATCCACCTTATTTTTATATTGAAATTTGAGTGTATGATTAACAACCAGATGGTATTTTTATATGGTTTTGGATGAAACACAATATGTATAGGTTTTGCGCAATGCAATGAAGAAATTTGGAACTGATGAGGAAGGTGTGAGCCGTGTGATTGTTACAAGGGCTGAGAAGGATCTGAAGGACATCAAAGAGCTATACTACAAGAGAAACAGTGTTCACCTTGAGGATGAAGTGTCCAAAGAGACCTCAGGGGACTACAAGAAGTTCATCCTCGCTTTGTTGGGGAAACATGACTAAAGAACATGCTCTAAGGGCATACCTAGTGATGGGTTTCTGGTTGTGATTTTCGTTTTCAATTTCCAATAAGATCGAATATGTTTTTAAGGGTCCTGTCTCTAGCTTGAGACAACTTGGAACTTGTGTCTTATTTGAGGGCATGTGTCATGTTTCATTAGGGTTATGTTGGTATTTGGAATTTGCTCTTATATATATGAGGGCATCTGTTTCTTTTTGGGTCATGTTTGGTTTGCTTTTAATGAAAGGTTAATACCAAACTTATATGAATTGAGTAATTGAGTCCTTCATTATAAATTCTGATTCTGATTAGCAAAGGTTAAAAGAATTTATTCTTTTTTTTTTTTAAATCTTTTAACAAATTTTAAAGTACCCTTCTCTTAAAACAGATATTGATTATAAGTTTTTGAAACATATTAAATGAAATTGGACGGATATCAAGTTTTTAACTGTTAATCACTTTCACTCACAAAAAAAAAAAAAAAACTCCTACATAAAAGTTTGTGTAATTTATATACTGATTTCTTTTCTGACAAAAGAAAAATGTGAAAAATGGAAAAGACATGAAGTCTCGGTTACACTTTCCACAATTTGTTCATCAATTGGTTATTTGTTCGGTGCTTTTCATCGACTACTGACACTTAAGTGCGGCCACGGGTTTTTGCATATTCCTTTCCTCAGTTTGCTTTATAAAAGAAAATGGGAAGAAAGAGAAAAAAAAAAAAAAAGTAATTGTAACGTGAAAGTAATTTTAATCGATATGAGGTTTAAATTCTTTTAATAAATAATTGTTATTAATAATAAATTTTAGTATAATGTAAATATATTTTTAATAATTATTATATATTAATTATTAATATTTTTATTAAATAATAAAATAGAAGTAATTAATTTATTATTGTTAAATAATTATCGATAATAATAAATTTTGTTGTAGTTTACACATTTACTAATATTTCTAAAATGGAGGGGAAAAGTGTTTCGAATGTTAAATGTAAAATATATCATATATTTTTTATATTATTATTTTTAGATAAATAAAGCTTACAGAGAGAGTTGAATGTGTGTATAAAAGTTTTAAAACTTTTTAAAAAATGTAAATATAAGTTTGTAAAACTCTTCATCCAACAAGTTTGAGGGAAAAATGATAACAAGAAAAACACTTTAATTTTTATACTGAGTCACTTAACTTGAGTTACATCTAGTTATCTTTGAGTTTGAATGGTTCCACTAACATGAAAACTTTTATAAACAAGTATTGTTATTTGCTACAAATGGCTTACAAATGTAACAACCTATTAGAGTATTTTTTTTTAACTAGTCTCTTCAATCTTACAAGGTGAGTTAGTGTTTGAGCTTCTACATGACTCGCATAAATAGGGTATGTAAGTTGAGTACACTAAAAGAATTACAACTTACTAGAGCAAGGATGTTCTAACTTAAGCTTTTCTCATAGATCGTCTACTGGAAAAAATGACACAACTAAGAGTAAACATGTATATTCAACATTCACAAAATTCTCTTATCTTCACATCTACTTGCATTTATAGGCTTTAAGATATATATGTTGAGTGAAAGCCTTGTAACTTGGTCGTTGTAGCTTGATCTTTGATCTTTGATCTTTGAATATGGTTGTTTTTTACATATGTTCAGAGCTTCATTATACTTTGATGTGATAAGGGAATGAGGTAGTAAAGGCCCAACTTGAACACATTTCTTTAGGCACCACCAATTCCTTTTGTAATTGACTTTCCTGTTTTTGGTCGCTACTATAGTTCTAGTCCTTTATACCATTATTAATGCATACACAAAAGAGAAAATAAATCATAATGGTATTTATAACAAATAGATTATTAGATGCTTATCAACAAGTTGTTTTTGGAGGTTTATAAGACTATCTTAAGGTGGGTAGACGCTTAACAAGCATTGGACTTGTGAAAACGCTTGAAGATGCAAATTTTGGTGACAGTGCATTGGATGTTGGACATAGTCACTAACATTAACTAGCCTATTTAACTAAGTGTTACACTTGCTATCATAACTCGAGGTGGTCAATTATTTTTTGGTGAGCTATTGGAGCATGGTGAAGAGTTGATCAAACTTGGATTTGAGCTTCAAAAGCACTTATTTTGGTGTCAACGATCTTGTTAGTTTGTGTAGATGTGACATACTTTGAAGTTAGTGGCATATTTGATATTGAGGGTGCCTTAAGAGTGGAAGCAATAGAGGTTGTAGGGATGCTTGATGATGAGACTTCGTCCATCTACATGTCCTAATTAGTGGTGGGAGAGGCTCCTACAGAGGCACAAATTCAACAGGTGTTGAACATAGATGATGTCAATACTTTGATGTATACTTCTTAGGAGTGAGGAACCAATCAAGAACCTAGGCATGGGTAACTTAGCAAGCTCGGTTTCCTAGTCAAATCCATGTTTAGTGAGATCAAATAAAATGACAACAATGAGATAAAGAATGGCAGTCTCATCACATATGATTGACCTAAAGTGCTTTCAGACAAAACTAGAAAAGGTGTTGCTAAAGTTGGCGACATGAATAAGTCGCTTCATTAACTTGTTGAACTGGGTATGAATAGTTTACTTATCCCCTTTTAAGAGTCCACTAGATTATACAAAATTAGCATTTGAGAACATTTAATATTGGTAGAACTTTTCGACATCAAACTTAATGTACTCACACTCATGTATGCTCTTCTTGAAGACTATAGGGATCATCCTTAAATTACTTCTTTTTTCAACTTTGGAAGGATATTGTTCAAAATGATGGCCTAACCAAGAGGGGGGTCAATTGGTTGCTTAACAATTTCTTGCCTAACTTTCTTGGTTTTGAAAAACTTTTCTAAATCTTTATAAAGAAGTATATTGATTTATAGTTGTATATAAAATACTTAGCTTAGATTCAAATGCAAGTCTAAATTCATTCAATTCTATATGTAATGTTTATGCCTCACAACACATGACTGAAGTTTAGTGAAAAACACATAGAATGAGGGTTGAAAATGTGTGTGTGTGAACAAAGTAATTTTAAAAATGTTTTCGCAAGAAGATCCTTTTTCGTCGAGTAAAATAATATTAGCGAATGCTAAACTGAAGCCTCCCAGGATTGGTTCAACAAAATACTTTTGCGTCTGGGAGTATTATCGACCACCTCCTGGCTCTAGAAGTTATATTTTATACTAGCGTCTTTTGATCAGCCACTTCTGGCTCTTAATGAGTATTATCGAACACCTGCTGGCTTGCTAACTTCACCATTAGTGCTAGTATTCCTTGATCAGCCACTTCTGGCTCTCAATGAGTATTCTTTGACAAGCCTCTCCAAGCTTTACAAGTATTCTTTTCCTAGCCTCTTCAGGCTTTACATATGATAACTAAACAGGTTTGGTTGAGTGTTTGGGTTACTCTCATAGAGAGGATACATAGGTTGAATACACTCACTAAGGTATATGAACCTAAGTTACACTTAGAGTCCCTTAGTCTACGAAGATAATTACATCAATGTATATTTGACTCTAGAAGCTCTATCTCTAGTTTCGTTGCTTCGTGGGCTTGATATCACTCTTGTTAAAATTGCAAAAGCCAACCATTCAAAGTTTGAGGTAGTGATATATATATTGTCTTGTAGAATTTTCCCATTGCAAGTGCACGTTAAAATAGATATAGTCGTTCATGACTAGTTTGATCTTTCATTTAATGCTCAAGATCTTACATTAAATGTTGCTTTCTGTTTATAGACATTGCGTAAAGTCTTCTTTGCCTTGTTAGCAATTTTGTCTGAATTTAGCAGAGATCTAGGAACCTTTTTGTCCTTTTCTGGTTGCGTAGCTGTAGAGTGTTGTCCTCATCTGAAAAAGTGATGTACTTTTTCTGACACATGCATGCTTTTGCTTTAATGTGCTTTTCTTCTTCTTTTTTCATCACACTATCATGTTGAGAGCATTTATATGATCGTAGATGATGCCTCAGTTGTCCTTTGAGACTTGATTCTTTAAGTGCTTGCATGACAATCTTCATCTGCATCTATTGGTCCTATGCGTCTCAATCTGTGATTTTCATTTGAGCATTTGAGTTTAATGCTTTGAATTTCTTTTGATCTGGTCAACATTACAGATGGACAAACTTTGTTTTGTTTGAGATATCTTTCAGTTTGTACTGTCCTTCGTCTTATGCGTAGTTGACTTTTTTTTATCTTTGACTCATGATTCGTCTAATTTCTTATGTTGCACTGGAGGTTGTCCTTGACACACCTTAGTTTGATATTAGACTCGTAGTTGTCTGGCGCACACATTATACTTTGTTTATTCAGTTAGCTTGATTTGTCTGATTCTCATGATGTGCCTTGCCTTGACTGCTTTTTTATCAGAGTTGATCATCTGATGTTTAACACATTTTTGTCTTGTTCCAGATTTAGTCCTGTTTTGGCTTTTCATCTGATACTTCAATGTTCTTATATTTTTTTATCAGACCTAATCTTGATGCTTGACCAACCATCATCTGATTTTCTTGTTTAGTTCGTCCAGGCATCGTAGATATTGTATTTAATGCATTTGATCTTGCATTAAATGTTTGCTCGACGAATTCGTGTTACGTGAAGTCTTTTGTACCGTTTGTTTACTTCTATGTCTGACTTCAATCATGACCTAGGCATATCTGTACTTTCCTGACATTATAGCTGCAGAGGCGTTGTCTTTTACTAACTGGTAGGTGTACTTGCTTTGACACATGCAGCTTTGACTTGTGGATAAACGGGAGTCCATTTTTCTCTTCTCTCTTCTTCTAAGAGTGTGGATGATAAGCAGTACTTCTCCTTGTGACTTAGTAGACTTCAGACGCAATTCAACATTCTTCGTTTTCGTCTAGAAATTTGAGTCACCGCCTAAGAGATAGACTCTATTACCTCATCTTCGTCCTTATTGGGATTTTTTGCTTTTATTTTTTCTCTTTCTTTTCACTTTTTTTTTCTTCTCCTATTTTTCTTTTCATTATGAGTTGTTCCTCTAAAACTTGTGAAGGTGTAAGAGTAGTCAACACACATTTTTTTCCAATGTAAGTGAGACTTACTTTGTTAGTTAGGCCATCATGGATAGCCTTCCTATCATATTGCCAAGGTCTTCCAAGTAAAATATGACTTGCCTCTATTGGTATGATATCACACAAAACCTTATCTTTATATTTTCCAATGGAGAAATGTATGCTTACTTGTTGCTTAACTTCTAGTGGTTCATCCTCATTTAACCATTGGAGTTTGCAAGCTTTAGGA